AGAAGTGAGAACCTTCTAGGTTTCATTTTAGGTCGATAAAGGAACCTCACCCCCCAAAGGATCATGTTTGGAACCGAATTGGTTAAAGAGAGCCCATGCACCCAAATCGAGTTGAGCTAAAACCATAACGTTGGGTGGTTTTGGGGCCTACTTATAACAGCCTTTTACCCTAATACAACTGATGTTTGACAGTCCACTCCAATGGCCCAGGCTCGTTTTCGTTTTCTTTGGGCCTAATAAACGGAGCCATAAATAAGTGGCTTAGTAGAACTTTATTTCTAATGAAAGTAAGAAGTGGAATTTGAGTTTCATTTTTACAACCTAAAGTTCAAAAAAAAAAATAATAATAATTTTATGTAAGACTTATGTTTAAAATGATCTTATCTCAAATTTTTGTATCTTTATATCCGTAAAACCTATGATTTTATCTTTTTTATGATTCAGGGGGGGTATTTGGCCCGGAGCATGGGAAACTGTGATATGTGGATTGTGAAAGACTTGAATGTTACATGAGGGTTGGTTAATGCAGGCTAGGGGCCAAATTAAGGCAAAATTCTATATTATGTCGTTGAACTTACTTTAAATTATTGATTAAATTCTTAAGTTTTTATTGAAACAAATAAATTCTGGAATTAGGAATGGTGTTATGGTCTAGTGGCTAGTACCCTTTGTAAGGGCCTTCTCATGCTAGTTTGAAGTGTGGAGTTTGAGTTCTACCTTCAATATTTAAAAAAATAAATTCTTGAATTTGGTGATTTAAATAATTTAACCCTTTTTTTTACAACAAACTTAACATCTTTTTGTACCTTACATGTATAACAAAATATTAATATATAATTACTTATATAATGAATATTGACCTTATTTATGCAAATAAGGTATAAACAATAATTAAGTTTACTATAAAAACAAAAAATTAAATATTCAAATTATTAAGTTTAAAAATTTATTTATTTCAATAAAAATCTAAATATTTAATAAAAAATCTGAGATAAAGTGAGGCTCAACCTAGGATTTTGTCCAAAATTAAACCCAGCAACCACGCTGAGAC